GTAGTTCTACTCAGTACAAGAAAAAAAAAAACCACAGGTTCAGACATTTAAAAAAATGTACTATAGTCAACACCTCCTCCTACAAATATAAGAAAAAAAATTAATCTTGACTACCATCACTAAGCTGGTTCCTCCCACTACTCAACCCCTGACCTCTTAATCTGCTTGTCAAGTTTGTTTTTTCAAGGTTGGAGACGATCAAGCTCCAGATGGTGAGGGAGACAAAGCCAAATATACCCAGAGACCTCCTCCTGGTACCATGGACCCCTTGACAGACCCCCTTCGACATCTCAGAAGAGATTCTGACTGACTGTCTGGGGACCCCTCGAGTCAATGCCCCTTTTCCTGACAGAAATCAGGGCTACCTCTGGAGGGGGGAGAATATAAGGGAACAAATGTAAGAAAAAATAAAATAACAAAAATGTCCCTAGGGATGTAAATGTAAAGGGACAAATAACAAAAGTAACTTTGTTTTAGATAAAGGAGACAAAAAGACATACTTACAAGCAAAACATTTAAAAGGACATAAAACCAGCTTTGCACAGAGATGCTGAGGCACAACAGACTTTTCCAAAATAAATAAAAAGGGGTCTCACCAAAATAATGAGCAATAATCATAAAATATAGGTGATCAGACTCAAGGACAAAATGATCTAATGAAGCCCTCTTAAAATGTGCAGTCTGATAAGGATGGGGACAACTAGATGGCTAGGTTTGACTAAAAGTCAATTCATACTAGCTAAGTTTAAAGAAAAGAACTGTAAAAAAATAACAACAGAAAGAAAGAAAAAGGGGAATTGTGAGGATCAGCTTAGATTGGGTCTTTTCTGTCAAAGGATTTAATCAGCAACCACCACTGTTACAAATGTTAGTCTCACTAACTCGCTTCCCATATGCTTGCTTCATGGACTCTGCTTAACGTGATAAAAGTTTCTGTTAAGAACAAAGGGTTGTTATCCTCAGCCGGACAAAATTCCACTAGATGCCCTGGTTCCGGAGCTAATAACCTAAAACAGTTACTGCATCCCTGAGCTTTGAAACTTCTTTGTCTTCAAATCTCCCTCCCAATGTCCTCTTTCCAATTAGCCAACTGCACAGACTTGAACCCCAAACCTGCTCAATTCAGGGTAGGGGCATCATGGTATTAGAGATAGAACTCCAGCAGACTCTCTGCTGGGGATACTTACTCTTTTTCTGTAGTGCACCTTTCTGTAGAAATAAATTTTGCCTGGCCTATTGAATTCTAAGTGTGTCTTCTCTCTCCCTTGTGACCCCAATATCTTAAAGATATTTCTAACACACCCAAACATTTAATTCCTAAACTTGCCACCAGTCAAAAGAAGGTGCTCATTAATACTCTGATACCTATATTTTGATTCCATAAGAGAGAGAACACTCTTGTGTAAGAATAGGAAATAGAAACACCATTACAATAGAAAATTATTTTGTGTTAGGGAAATATAAAAGAAGAATGTAAAGGAAAAGGCCATGCTTGCTCTGGATCTGGTGACATGGTTCAAATACACTGCATTTCTTAAAATGGCAACAGAGACATTCCAGAGGATCAGGAAAGAGATATAATGAATGTTACAACCCATAGAATTTTCATGGTGCTCATATAACAAGAACCGAAATATGCGCACTGTATCATTTCAAACTGTGAGAAAACAGGTGTTGAGATCTACTCAGCAGACTGAAAAACAAAGTGACCTTGGTTTGCTGCTGTAGAGGTATTACTTTAACAGCAGAGCCCCTTTTTCTCTTAAACCACTGGCCTGCATAAATCTTAGTAACTCAGGAGGGTAAATCGTGTCATGGAATAAATGAAGAAGAACACAAGAATGTGAAATTTCACTTCCTAAGGCTTTCAGCTAATAAGTTTGTCCTGATAAAACAGCAAGATTACTGAGAATGAGATGAAGTAAATTAAGGAACAGCAGGCAAGTTATTGTTTTTTGAATAGCAAAAACTAGGTATATTACGTAAGGAAATGTAATTTAGGAGGGAGTTAGTTTTACCAGAGAAGAATGACAAATTAAATCCCTTAAGTCATGAGTAAAGTTGATGCTTTCATCTGAAATATTGAACTTTTAGATTCAGAAATTATATTATAGTTGAAATAGCAAACTTTTAGAAGTCAGGAAATTCCAAAACAAGCCTACAGCAGAGCTTACTTAGACATATTACACATGGTACATATTTTACGGTCCATGTTTAACAAATAACTAGGAAATGGAAAAAGAAGGTCCACATATTCAACATGGCAGGATAAATTCTATGGTAGAAAGAATTTCAGGGTGAAATTCTTGAAACTACCCTGAAACTAAACATTCTATTAATCTAATTTTAGCAGTTTTCTGTACAAAAAAATTAGAATAAAAAGTCATCCCAGTTCAAAAAAATAATATGTAAAATACTATATCCATTGCCATCTTCCAAATCTGAGAGGTGAACCCTCTCTTTTGGTAACTCTGTAAAATTATCATGAAACAAATGTTATTTTCTTAAACCCAAGACTTTAATATTCTATCTTTGGAACTAAAAAATACTTACATAATTGTCTTCAAATTGGCTTGACTTTTCTTCCTTGATGGAAACAGCATTCCTGCCAACTTTAAAATTTATAGCTACAACCATATTTTTTTAATTTTTTAAAAGCACAGAAAATACCACAACTCCTCAAAGTGATTTTGAAATGAGCATTTCTTCATCTTCATAATTATCCTGTGTCACACTGAAATGCGCTCCAGCTTGGCATACAGATGGAAAGAACATTTACCTCTGAGTCTCAGTTCAAAACGTTATCTCTGATAGTGATTTCTAGAGGGCTGGAGAGTGAACGGGGAAAGCTGAGGATGCACTGTATACATGAATTGAAAAATTGCACTGAACTCCATTAATGTGTGCAATTAAATAAGCCCAATGAACATTAAATTATTGTCTTTGGGAAAATGCTATTAGCAACTAAAAATATTCCAGTGGCAATCATACTTAAGCTGTTACAAATTTCATTACAACGTAAAATGGTACATCTATTAATAAAATTCTTAATGTCTGTGTGTGTAGAAAGAGAAAAAGAGGGAGCAAGAGAGCAAGGACAGACTCTCATACAGACCACACACCACAATTTTCTAAAGCATTTCCATATAACTTCATTAATTTCATCTTCTGACAATCCTGAAAGGTATACAAGACAGGAATTCATTATCCCATTTGATACATCATTAAACTGAGAAACAAAAAAGGGTAAGGCTCTTGTCAAAATCCTGGAAAAATAACCAAGACTGCTAAATTACAGACCAGTCCTTTAAAAGAAAATTTAAGAGGCTAAGTGCAGTGTCTAATGCCCATAATCCCAGCTGTATGGGAGGCAGAGATGGGGAAGATTGTGATTTAAGGCCAGTACAGGAAAAAGTTAGTGAGACCCTACTTCAGTCACTAAGTCAGTCGTGGTGGCACGCCTGTGGCCCCAGCTATGAGGGAGATCTTAGGTAGGAGAATTGTGGTTCAGGCTGGTCCCAGGCAAAAACATGAGACCTATTTAATAACCTAAACCAAAAAGAGCTGGTGGCATGGACATCGCAAGTGCAAGAGTCTGAGTTCCAACCCCAATACCACCAAAAGAAGGACAGAAGGAAGGCAAAGACACTTTCGTTGTCTTTATTTTTCCATAAAAATGGGAGATTGGCATCGGCACTCTCGAGTCCACTGACTGTGGGGAGAAATTCTCAGATCCCCCTTCTAAACCTAGACACAGGATACATGATAGAGTCGAGTGACTTTGTAGAAGGAAGTGAGCAATGACAATGGCAGGAGTTATGGGGGCTAAGTGGGGAGGGGACACAGTTATATGTGAAATGCCTTAGTAGCATTCACCTATCTAGAAGTTGGAGCAGGCAGCCTGCTGAAAGGACAACTAGATGAGGGAACATACTCATCACTGTGTTCTAACAAGTTTGCCCAGAGTACGCAGACAGAAAGTGATCAAGGAAAACTCATCGACTACCCCAAGGTAATAACCATGAGGTGCAAAATATGTCCACACCATTAGCTAGACCATCACAACTACAGCCTAGATTAGAAGAAAACAATTTGTTGTTGGGAAATTGGGACTTTTCTTCCTAAAACACGGCAATAAATTTCTCAGGTTGCTGTTTACTTTAGATCACATGGTCTATATAGCTGCTTCTTCTAAGTCAGAGTATAATAAAATTAATTAGTTTAGCATTTTATCATCTTACTTTTTTATTTTTTCCTGCTCTCAAGCATGCAGTTCAAATAAAAGTACATAAGCTCTTTTATTTTACATTTTATATGAAATAGTCTATATTTTATATGCTTGAAGTTGGAATCACTGCATGCCATCAATATTTTTTTAATTCTAACAAAAACTGGTTCTATTAACAAGCAAGAAAAATAGTGAATTTGTGGCCTTAAAAAACATCACATGATGAATAACCAACCCTGAATAACCAACCATTATGTCTACATGGTAATGCCTGTGAAGAATAGCAACACAGAGGTAAGCCTGTGTAAATTATACACATCTTATTAAAAAGAGATTGTTCATCTCAATAGATTATATCTAAGTTCACAAAGGACTTTATTATAGGTCTGCATATTCTGACTTAGGGAAGTCCAAATAATTTGGATTGTGTGAATTATACTTGATAACTCAAATGTGAGAAATTCACCTCAAAAAATTTTAAATATGCATCTATTGCTACTCTATGGGAGTTCAGATCATCATTGAAAATAGTGAGTATCTAAAACACATATGACTTCATATACTGCGTGATAAAGCCAGCTATAGAATTTTATTGAGAGGACAGGAATTACCCTGCACCATGGCCATGGAGCTCAGACCTCAGTAGGTAGAAGCAGAACTAATCTTGACACTATGGTGTCAAAGCATGGTAGAGTTGTAGTAGAAATTTGCAGTTTGTGTTCTAGACAAACTAGCAGGAAGAAAGCAAGTGACAGACAAATGTCTCACGTACTTTGCAAAGCCAATGAAGTCTTCATGGTTGGTGTTAATATAGGAGACTTGAATGTCGATCAATAGCAGTACCTATGAATCAAAGAGAAGCACTTCAGTAAACACCCAAATTAAAATATTTTTCAGATATTAATGTCAATATTTGCCTAAATTATTTATCTGTATCGAATTTTTAAAGTAATCTTTCCATTAGGATTAAAATTATATTAAATTTTCTTAATTGGATTAATAATTTAACACACTAAATTTGTAAGTTAAAAGTCTACATGAAAGGTAAGTCTGAGCACAAGACAAAGCATTATAGTTTATAAACACCTATTTTCTAACTTAACACAGGCCTAGAATTATTCTAGTCCTCTAAAATGTAGCCATAATGTTCAAAAGAATGGCAAGTTGTATAAGCAATACCACCTCTTATTTTTCCTCTCCTTTCTATCTCTGTATGCTCCCTCTAGGCCGTCAGAAGTACCCCATCAACCAACTCAGTAGGCCTCTTTCAGATCAGTAGGCTTCATTATCAAACCAAAACATCAGCCAAGCCACGCAGGATGGCATACACCTGTAAACCTAGCACTCAGGAGGCAGGGACTGGAGGACAGAGAGTTCATGGCTAGCTTAGACTACATAGTAGCTTCCAGATCAATCTGGATCCTGTCTCAAAAAAAAAAAAAATCAGCCAGGTCTCTGCCAAGATAACACCTCACCAGAGGGATCTTTCCTGCGCATTCTAACTAAGTTAGCACTCATTACTCTCTATCCTACCCTGACTTACTTTCCTTTCTAGCACGACTTGTAGCTGACAGAGGAGTTTGTGCATGTTCTCCATCTAGACTTCATCCGTTGTATCTACTGTTGAATTCCCAGTGCTTAGACAGGTGCCTGGAACATCGTGTATACTCAACCACGATTTGTGAAGGAATGAATGGTACACACATCCCAGACAACATGAAACATGTTATGAACATGTTCAGGTCATAATATACTTATGAACCTTTGGTGATCACAATAAACATTTTGTTGTTCTCAGCCATTTCTTTTCCTTATGTGTGTGTGTGGGTCTTTATAACATTTTCATTCACATTTACTATGTACATCGATCATATTCACTCTACTAGAAGAAAACAAACTTGAAGATACAGGCACAGTCAGTGACTTTCTATATAGGACTCCAATAGCTCAGGAACTAATAAGAAGAATTAACAAATGGAATTGCATAAAATTAAAAAGATTCTGCACAGTAAAGAAAAATTTAACAGAGTGAAGAAAGAACCTACAGTATAGGAGAAAACATTTGCCAGCTACTCATCTGGCAAGGGATTAGTACCCAGAATATATAAGGAACTCAAAAAAATTAAACACCAGAAGAACAAATAATCCAATCAATAAATGGGCAAATGAAGTGAACAGACAGTTTTTAAAAGAGACACAAAGGGTCAATAAATACACAAAGAGTATTTTTATGCTGCCTCCCTTCACTAAAGGTGACGGATGAGAGCATCAGAGTCTCCATGGGAACAGTTTATGGGCATATTCGACATAAGGCTCCTCAGCGGGTATTTCCTTAGGAAATCTTCCCTTATTCTCACCACCCCTTCCCTCACCCTTGACCAGGCTGGATCTGTCTTTCAGATAGTATATATGCCATAATGCTATATATACATACATTGTGACCTAAACTTTTTAACTGGAGTATTCACCACAAATGTACTTAATAATGTAACTTTTTGCTTAATTTTTCTCTTCCCCACAAGAGTGTAAGCTTCATAGAAGCAGGGATGATGTTTGTCTTGTTCCCCATTTTATCTCCAGAACCTAGTGTGATACACATAATAGGCACCCAATAAATACGTGTTTTTAATTTTATAACTACCGGCCATGTTTGCAGAATAGTTTGTTTTAAATGGAGCAATCTATTCCCACATAATTTGTATGTAGTTTCTCATTATTGATTCTTAATCAGTATCTATAACTATGGGCTCTGAGGCTTTACTTTGTGCGAATCTAAACCTGTCATCTGAACAAATCTTGCTGAGAGTCACAGGGGACCTGCCAAAAAAGATTTAAGAGATTATTTCAAACCCACTCCCACTACCAAAAATAAAGGCAAGGCACAAGAGCTACTGGATCAATAACATCATGTTTTTCTTCATCTTATTGAATATAGTTTTATTTCTTCTAGAACACTGAAGAGTTAGGAGGAGTGATTACTATTATATTAGCTGTAGAACTGCCTCTCTGCTCCTAACAGTAAAGCCAGACTCTGTTATAAATTATATTCTCCAAACCATTTGGCCAGGATTTTGTAAACTATAATATTTAAGAACAAATAAATTGTTGCCACTGTAAGGAGCATTAAGTATTTACATAATTCTCAGCAAAAGCAATCAAATGTTGTCATGCGTATTTTGGACATTCACACACATTAACTTGGACTGCAGTAAGGAAAACAGTGGAAAAAAGTAAAAGCTAGAGCTGTTTTCATTCATATTCCTGGAAACTGGGAGTCTGTGCTCACCCTAGGAAAAGGGCCAGGTCACATGTGGGGGATGAAAAAGAAAATAGTTCATTTTTTGTCTTTTTTTTTTTTTTTTTACTTTCTCAGAGTTTCTCACTGTGCTTTCACCTATAGTTACGGAATATTTAGTTAAAGAAAAGTAAAGTTACTCCTGGTAGCACTAGTCACCCATAGTTAATCACTTCAATGTGCAGTTACATATATGGAAACACTTACAAGAATGCCTGGCACACTTAGATGTCTCAAAAACCTTTAAGAAAAAACTCAGATTTATAGTTACTAATGTTTAATTTTGAAGATGTTGCACCACAAAGTTTCCTAAGCAGAAGTATTTAATAATTTGATTTTTAAAAAAAGAAGAAGGAAAACTGCAAGAATTTTTCAAAGCAGTTTAGACACAGAGGCCTGAGGAAACGGGTCACTCTTTGACCAGGTACTTCAAAAGTACTGCATGGTTCAATGCAGCACACAGCCCAGAATTCAAATGGGAGATACATGCAAAATGACATGACTGCATTTACAAAGCATACATGTCTCTACTGTGCCACACAGGTTGAAATTAGAAGTGATCACTACAAGCTTCTAGAGGCAGGTGACAACTGTGGGAGCAGGATACCTGAGATTGTCACCTAAGAGAGAGACATCTCCCCCATCCCTAATTTCGTGTTTGGAGAATCATTACATCAGAGTTAGATAACAGACAATTTCTGACAATTGAAGTCAGAAAAGGCAGGTCTTTCTCATAGCTACCAGGTGTCACACCTCTTTGGGAATAACAACTAAAATTAAGAAGTAAGAGCTCTATTTGCATTGCTTTATTTCATTCTCACAAAATGCCTATGAGTTAACTACCTTCATATCCCAAAGATGAAGAAATTGAAGAATAAACTTGTCAGAGGTTACATAGAAATTAAATGATAGACTGGAGGTGTTGCTCAAGCAGTAGAGTACCTGCTTTGCAAGCATGAAACCCTGAGTTCAAACCCAAATCCCACCGAAAAAAAAAAAAAAGTCCATAATACTAACCTCAATGCTATAGGGATTACCTTGACAGGATTATAGCCATCTTGAATTGCAAACACCAGAACTGGCCCTGAGTGACCCCAGTTGGTCCTCCACCCCCTGCATATTGTCCCAGCCTACTATGAATAGGCAAAACCCTTAGAGCACTATGAGGAGATTTAGGACAAGATCCTGGTACAAGAATATGCCTGCCTCTTTGATATTAGCTTGAGGTAAATTAGGTATGTTCTAGCTTGGATGAAGTCACTTTTGTCCTCACTATTTATAAGCCCCTATTCTCTGACCCAAATTGTGGGGATCTGTCCAGGACTATACTTGGGTCAAAAAGTCCCTAACAAACTGCACTCTGCAAACCTGGATCCATGTGCCTCTTCATACAATGGAATCTGGTTGTTCAGAAGAAATGATACATTTGAATATATTATTTTAGTAAAACAAAAACTGAAACATGAAGAAGTCAACAATTGATGTAGATACACTCACAAAGATGGTTAAAATGCTAATTGTACTAATTTTTCCTCAGTACTATTTTACATAGGATCCCTAAGAGTTGAATAATACACACTATCATTTGAATATTGTAGACTAACAAAACTAAGTTAAAATAGCTTATTTTCTGAAGGTGAGGTGTATAGTTTACTTTTAAGAACTTAGGTTTTCTTAGTCCAGCAGTGCCAAGACATTGGATGTAGGGAGGAACCTCTAGCTTGGTGCTATTTATCTGGCCCCAGCCTTGATTTCCCTGGCTCATCAGTTAATACTGACTGACTTATTTATCTCCACTAAGTCACAAAGCCTGTTTTCTCCACTCTTGGCTATTGTCCAAGAATGTAAAAGCGGGAAAACAAGTGGAATTAGAAATACTGGTTGATTAACTTTAGAAGCACAATGATAAAAATGAGTCCCACAGCACAAGCACAACAGTTGTTCCTCAAGTCAGTCACTCCCAAATGTGCCAGCCTCCTGGGTTTCCATCCTGCTGTCTCTTCACTTTCCCCATCCACCATCCATCTCCACACACTGTACACGCTGCATTCATCTCTCTCACCAACCCAGTTCTTTCTCTTTCTTTCTCTCTCTCCCCTCCTCCCTCCCTTCCTTCTTTCCGTTCCCTTCCCTTCCTTCCCTTCTTTTCCTTCCCTTCCCTTCCTTTCCTTCTCTTCCCTTCCTTCCCTTCCTCTCCTTCCCTTCCTTTTCTTCCTTTCCCTTCCCTTCCACCATATAGACCAACATGAAGCACATGACAAAACAATCCAAAGAAGTGATTTGACAAGGATATGCTGCTACTTTGTGGAGAGCAAATGTTCTATCCATGCCACACTTGTAACTATCTCACAGAAGTTAAGAATATTTAAAAATCTTTGTATTTTGTAATATGTTTAATAAATAACTAAAAAAATCCACTTAAAAGTAGATTTTAATATTTTCACATAGTCCTTCACTTTTTAAGTGAATTATTCTCTCACTTAAAAATAATCTTTCCAAATCACAGAACTAGGATGACATGAGGATTTTAAGGTCACTCCTTAGAAATATACAGTTACAAAATACTTTGAAATGTTTAAAATATTTAACGTTTAAGTATTTTTTCAATCAAATTTCTATGGATGAGTTGACAGAAAGGTACAAGCATTCTTCATTTGGAAGGAAGGGAGGGAGGGAGAAAACAAGAAAAAAGAAAAACACTGAATATTTTGCAGAACATTTTAGTAATTTATGAATATTCTGGAGTTCATATGTGGGACCATTAAAAGTTAAAACCCCTGCCGTAATGGAGAAAAGTGGTATTTTCTGGCTTAGTGTCAACGTGGGATGTGTTTATGCTAGGAACATGCACGTGGCGATCATGGAGGGTTGAGTAGAAAAAATAATGGAATTCCTACTAGTTTTGCAATTTTATTCTTCTACACTCTTCATATTTGCTTGTATTTATAACAATGCAGAAGGTATTAATACGGTAACATGTATATAATTCAGGTAGAAATAAGCATAATGTAGTTTTGCATGCCATTATGTTTTCTACTAAGGGCTAGGCCATCTGTTGGATACTACCAGACAACTTTGTAGAGGACTTCTACTTCCTTTGAGGGCCCCACCCTCCAGGGACAGCCTCCCTCACCTGGTCCTTTGTCTTCCCTTCTCGCTCACGAATGTGGTTAGCAACAATCCTTTCCGTTTCCTCACAAAGTCTGGGGAAGTTTGCCAGCTGTCAAGAAAACAGGCCTGAGTGTTAATACAGCACTCAAAACATTGTACTACAAAAAAAGAAGCAGAGATACATTATGCTATGTTACAGGAGATACTGATTACAATTCTGAAAACAAAAAATAAAATAGCATGAACTCCTCCAGAAGAATGACAGAGTGACAGAAGAGGTTCCACAAACTATTAAGAGTGCTAACCTAGTTATATGAGATGCCTCAAGAACTAAAACAACAATGCCCTAGAAATAAAGCAGAAACTCAGATACTGCCCATCATCATACTTTTCAGAGTTGGCACTTAAAATTTCAAGATGGAAAAGAGGATAAGGAAAAGAATAATGGCTGACATTCATATAGTTCTTACCACATGTTAAGCACTTCATGAGTCATCTCATTCAATATTCACAACAATTGTAAGAAATAGATTTAATTACTAAGCCTTTGATATAAAGGAGAAAAGTGAGGTACAGGTTAAGTAAATTGGCCAAGACCAAATGGCTCATAAATGATGGGTCAACTCAAATCCCTGTAACTCCAGAGCCCAAGGTCTTGTCCATCACCCTTTCAGTATGATTAATGGATGAATTATCATGAGCCACAAAGGGACTACTTAAAATAATTCCCCTAATAGATGTGTAAATGTACATATTCTTTGTAAAACCACAGGAATAACAAATGTCAATCACTTACCCCATCTAAATTATGCAGGTAATGGTTCAAAAGATTTGCAAAAATGAATTCATTACAACCATTTTCAATGCAAGACAAACAAAATGGGATGCTAAGAGGATGTTTAAGGAGCCTTAATCCAGAAGGAAATAATCAGGCAAAGATGTCAGGAGCAATTATGGGAAGACAAAACTTGCCAAGTACAGGAACACATGCGAAGCCATGGGGTTGAGGGGAGTGCACAATGAGTGGTAAAAGAAGCAAAGGAAGGTACTAGAAGGAAGAGATTTAAAAGGATGGGCTTGAGGTAAAGAGGGGAAGATAGACAGGAGCAAGATCAGGCAGAGTCATGAAGACCAGTAAGGAATTTTGATGTTACTGGAGTTTGAAACCGGGGTCTCACGCTTGCTAGGCAGGTGCTCTACCACTTGAGCCACTCTACCAGCCCTGTTAGGAATTTTGGATATCAAAGCAATTCAGGTGGGGAATGACAGTGACTTTGGCTGGGATGGCAACAGTGGAAATAAAGAAAAATGGGCATTCATGGTTTTGTTTTCTAGGCAAATGATAAGTTTTAATTATGATAAGAAAGTACATTCACACTAATTAGATTAATATCTCAATAAAATAGGCACAAGACATAACTTAATTCATAAAAATATAATAAGCAGAAGAAAAACATTAAACTTCATAAGTGATCATGCAAGAAAGATAATAAATCTTATGTTGGCAAATTGCTATAAATATTTTTACAAGACAACTGATAAAGGTGTGTTGAGACTGGCACAGTTTAAACTTGCTGAAAAAGCATCAATAAGAAAAGTCTTTCTGGAAAGCAATTTGGCAACATGGGTCAGGAATCTCAGACACACAAACACACGCACGCACACACACACAGGCGTTTCAACTTAATTAATTCACAGGAGTCTGAACTAAAATGATTAAGACATTTATCACAGTATTAGTTGGAAGAATAACAACAGAATAAGCTATAAACCACCTAAGTACTTGATGATATTAAATAAAGTAGATCTATATATAGAGAATGTAAATGGCCATTTTAAATCACATCTTTAAATAGTATCTAATTACATAGTAAATGATAATATGACAGTAAGAGAAGAAAGCCAGGCAATTAAACACATAATATGATTACACATAAGCATGCACATACCACCATACATCCTTGAGCTCCTTCAAGGATATTGCCCAAGAATCTTATAAATCTCAAAGTTCTTGAGTAATACTGGAGCACATATTTTCCCAAACTTGTAAGAAGTTAGAAAAAGGCCTCCCTGAGAGGCAGCTGCTCTGTGGTCACCCGGGGTCACTGTGCACACTAAATTTATAGCTTGTATGATGCACATTTGTTTCCTAGCAAGACAACAAACTGCAGTACTTCACAGAATCATCACAATCACAAGACCACCTAATCTCCTAATGTTGCAAGTCTATTATCTGCACATGGGAAAAAGATATGCACAAATATTACAAAATGTTAATATTAGTAACTCTTTTAATTATGCCTGATTTTATCCTGTGTTTTCCAAAGTTTTCTAAAATGGATGCAGAGTACTTTTATAGCAGTATCATAAAAATACAGATGCCTAGCTGCACTCGTCACCTCAAAAGGCACAGTCCAGAATCTGTTTTAGGCCACCAGTCTCCTACCTGATGAGTGGAAGAAGTAATTCATTCTTCTGTGAAGCCTGAGATGTATGTTCATTTAGCAGGAGCTTATTTCATGAATTACTGCAAAATATAAATTGAGCTACCATTTCCCATTTTGGAAGCATTCCCACAGAGGAAGCTCTTTTACTCCAGAACCTCTTTTGACACTCTGAAAATATCAGATTGCCTTTTGTGAAGCTTAAGAAAGCCTTCACAAAGAGGCAAGGATAGCTGATCAATACCAGTCCTTCATGACTCAGGAAGACCTGAGTGGTATACCTGGCATTAGGCCCCCAAAGCAAGGTTTCTCCCCTGCATTCAGACAGCATTCCAAGATACCAAGGGACACTGGTTCTTCAGTAACAGAATCACACTACTGCAGAGAAGTAACGGTGTAAGAAGCTGTGGGCTACCAAGGAGTGGGATGCCTTCAGCAACATTTAGGAAATGGATTACAGCAAAAGGTTATATTTAAAACCACAAAATAGTAGCAATATAAATATTTATTTAGAAACTAAATACTTGACGGCTGAAGGAACCCAGGATAGTACATGATCATCATTAAGTCAGGGAAAGGCCAAAATGATGACAATATCCCATGAAGCAGAGTCATCTAAGAATGCCTGCAATTTACTGGCCTTGGCCAGGGAACTGGTGTGTGTGTGTGTGTGTGTGTGTGTGTGTGTGTGTGTGTGTATTTCATCTGTTCAAACTTCCTACTCATGGGTTCAATTTTACCAAGAAAGAAGATACCTACAATTGATACAACTAAAAGTCAATATGCCTAAATTTTAAATAGAACAAAAGAAAAAGACAGAAAACGAACTGCTCTCATGGAGAACAGGAAGGAAGAACTCAAGAAGACATGAAGTGATATTAAGACCTGGGTATTACAGAAAGTCAATAATGAAGCACGTGTTTGCCAGCTGGTTGATCTGTGGGGGTTTACAGTTCAAAAGTGTTCAAAATTGCTGGCTCTCCAACATAAAGCTTACTTCTTCTTAAGACACAAACAGGAAGAAGGGTAAGTCCTACTGCGTTCAAAATGGCTTCTGAATAGGTTTCTCTGCCCATAGGTTTTTCTGCTTATTTCAGTGACTAGTCCCTGCATGGTTTATGTGGCCCTTTACTTTTGTTTGACAACATACTCTGCTCTTGTTGCTCCATTCCATCTATCACCTCTCTACTCTGTCTCTTATTTAAGGTTACAGTTTCCTCAATCCTTTGAATCATTATAACTCTCACTGTCTTTTGTTCTGGACATTGAATTAAAATCCTACAATTTTAAGAATATGGTTTGGGGGGATTTTTGTCAGCCATCAAAGTTCTAATCATGTCTGTCCAAATAATGCTGACATAAAAGACACTATCATTAGGACCTTTATTCCCTACTGGGTATTTAAATACCCTGTAAATTGATTGGTTATAATGATTTTATGTTCCTAAATTTATACTGTATCAGTCATTCATTGGGTACCTGAACGGCCAGCTCTATACTCAATTTGTATCATAGCACCTGATATTAAAACCTTATGGTCTTGAGGGGAAGGTTGACAGATAAACAGTCATACAAAATATTTTTCAAAAAGCAAAAGAAAGCACAAAGAAAGAAATGCCTATACCTGCCATAAGAAGATCTCTCGGGATTTATTGCCCACATAATTATAGCGAAACATCTAGTCAAAACTGTACATCTATTAAATTGCAAATTACCTCTAAATACCTAATTGTTCAAATCACTTGCCTTTTCTTAAATAATAAAGATTCAGTGGAAAAATAATACTATACATATGACTTTCAGAAATGAAACCTTAAATATTTAATTCTAAGAAAAAAATTGAATGATACATATTCTGAGAGAAAGCAGAAATAATTCAAAAATACAAAAAGACACTTTATTTGTATCCAATATTTTAAATATTATTTAGGGTGGTGTGTAATTATTTTTGTGGGATTTTGATGTAAAAATTTAATTTATGCATGAACCACATTTTAGAGGGGAAAATCACTTGAAAGACATTTCTATTCAATAAAACAAACTACACATGAAAATTTACTAAACATCAATTAATTTGATCATAACAGCCAGGCTATCAGGTTTCTGGAACAGACATGAACAGAGGCAAGATTTCTGAAATTTCAAGAGTAACTAGCTTGATGCCTGAAGCAACAACTCAGGTTATTAGATAACAATCTCTTTATAGATCTAAACTAATGATTACTGAGGAGAGAAACAAAATTCAGAACAAAATGTCTTGTCACAAGACATGACTCATCTGGTTCACCTTAACTAAAGATATAAGTAGGCTCTGTTTTTATCGAAAGAATCTATAATAAACCTTTGAATGTTGGCCACTTATTACAAACTGAGCAGCAATGTTGCAAAATTATTGCACTGTTCATGAAAACATACCAGAATTTTATTCCATTTTCTATGGATTAACGACCCTCCCCAACAGAAATCCTTTATTTATATGTGGCATAATGTTGGCTTAGTCAGAAGAAGAGAAAACAGCTGTCTGGGAACAACACATTTGCTATGAAAAAAAGAAACCTAAATGCATCCACATGAGGAAAGGTGATTACAGATGAGGAGCAAGTCTAGTCTGAAGTCATCAAGAAATGATGAGGCTCTTGTGCATGCACAGGAGAGTGCAGTACAC